GTTTCAAACGGTATGCTCTGATACCATATAGACTCAGAATACGTATGAAGGGTTTTTCAATATTATTCACATAACAAACAAGTATATATATAGGGTATACAATACAGAATAATTATCTACCTTCAAAACTAACTATCGGATATACACCATACAAGATAACCACAAAACTAATTATTATCTAAAAAGACTCTTGACCACACTCCCCCTCAAGCTGATGAATGTATATCGATCATTCGAAGCTTGTCCAAAGAGTCGTTGAATATTCGCACACACACAGCCTTGGTTAACATGTCAGCTAACTGCTCATTCGAATTCACATACGGTAAACTAATCGTCTTTTTCTCAAGATGATCTTTAATGAAATGCCGGTCCAATTCAACATGTTTAGTCCGATCGTGTTGAACTGGATTACTCGCTATCTTCACAGCCGCTTGATTATCACAAAATAACTTCATAGTACCCTTCACATTTATGCCCAGATCCTTTAACACCTATTTGACCCAAAGTAACTCGCATACACCGTGAACCATACCTCGAAACTCTGCCTCCGCACTCGAGCGCGACACAAACTTCTGTTTCTTACTACGCCACGTTACAAGATTACCACCAACAAATACAAAATAACCTGACGTGGACTTACCGTCAGACTTGTCTCCTGCCCAATCAGAATCCGTATACCCTTTAACTTCTACGCTTCCATTTCTGCCAAAGAACAAACCCTTACCCGGCGACGACTTCAAATAACGTAGAATCCGGAAAACAGCCTTCATGTGACTCTCACTAGGAGCATGCATAAAACGGCTTACAATGCTAACCGCATATGCAATATCCGGTCGTGTATGTGCAAGATAGATTAATTTTCCGACCAATTTTTGATACCTCTCTCTATTGGTTGGAACTTGACCTGTCGATTCTGTAAGCTTATGATTCACTTCTATAGGAGTATCAATCGGTTGACACTCCAACATTCCCGTTTCTGCAAGAAGGTCTAAAACATACTTTCGTTGACACATTACTATCCCATGCTTAGATCTAGCAACTTCAATTCCCAAGAAAATACCGTAAGTCCCCGAGATCCTTCAATTCAAACTCGCGACTCAACAAACCTTGTAGTGTGTTAATCTCGTCTGGATCGTTGCCCGTAACAACCATATCATCCACATACACGATTAGGGCTGTGACCTTATCACCGTAACTCTTCACAAACAAAGTGTGATCTGCGTCTGATTGTTTATACCGATTTCTCATGAACTTTGAAAATCTTCCGAACCACGCCCTAGGGGATTGCTTCAGCCCATATAGTGCTTTGTTCAATTTTACACACCTTGCCGCCATAATTCATTCCAGGAGGAGGATCCATAAGCACTTCCTCTTCTAGATAACCATTGAGGAAAGCATTTTTCACGTCGAACTGCTTAAGTGGCCAGTCTTGATTTGCCGCAATT